TGGCTGAAAAAAGTAGGGGATTGATATTAGTCTAAATAGTTGCTCGCGTGAGATCCACAAATAGACGATCAACATGTGTGAATTTAGTTGTTCTAGACGGAAAGATAACTAGAGAAAAAAAGTAAGTATTTTTTCCACTTATCTAACGAAGCATCATTTATGTGTAAAATGCCTAACGACTTCGTTGGTTGTGCTGCTCGTAGAGAGCGGACGAATCGGCGTCTATTTAATAGTATTGCAATGGATCTTTTTGTCTCGGCAAGAAGAAACAAACCTTTGCCAAGCTCTCGATCAATATGTAATGTTTCTCGTATGTGGTATCGGAACTAGCGTACTGATACTGAATTCATTAACACCTTGCATCGTGTTGAGAAAGAATCAAATGGAATGATCATCGATAGTGGCAATGAAGTGAGATTTTCTAACAGCACATGTACCCTTATTTCTGCGATTATTTCTGTTCAGAAGGATGATGAGAGTATTGAACTTGTAACAGACAGCCCATTACATGATCCAATGAATAGAAATATCGCAACTTTACCGATGAATGTGGCCCTTTCATGTCTTCAGTCCATTTTAATTGAAGATAAATTATTAACAGCGAATACTTCGTTTTGTAGACAGTGTTCGGTTTGTCAAAAACTTACAAATTCACCATTGTATACTATTTCTGAAAAACATCGAGAAACTTTCATTCATCAAAACTAATCTTTTTTTTCGGAATGTAGTCGATGTTATTAAGATCATCTTTATAAGCGGTTTACCCAATCCTTTCGTTAGCTAACAATGATTGCAAGTAGTTTTATACCATGTTCAATGTAGAATTTAACGCACTATATTTTAGTATAAAACACTTATTCTAGTATCGAATTATTAATTAATTATCAGTTAAATAGTGGGTAATTGATAGTTAGTAATAGTAAATGAGTAACTGAAAAACTTTGCTCTATTTTCAACACATCTGAGCATTCCAGAAGAACGAGCATTGAAAATAAAACAATTTTGTCTAATTATTATTTCGAAATAGGCAATCTTAGTCAGGCTTTCAGATTGCTGTGAGTTAACTTATCATAGTACTCATTACTTTAAACAAGTTTAACTACAAAACAGAACTTAAAAGATCAGAAGTATTAATATGTGTCTAAAAGCAAGATTTCTTCCAAAAGATAGATTCCCGTCCTCGACAGATTATTCTTCTCAAATTTCACAATGCTTTCAAATTATGAATTGGATAACAACAGAAAAATGGCTAGAAATTATGGTCTAGATTACATCCTAAAACTCAGTACTCTATAACAATTGTACAAAAACTTGTTCTGAGAGCGAAGACCTGTCATCTGAAAAAAGAAGTCTTGCTTATTATTGCTAGTTTTTTCAAATTTAATTTTTGAATTTGCAGCTATCACTTTTAAAAGTAATGGGCACTATGACTAGTCAAAACTGAAAATCTCATGAGCACGGTCTATTTGAAATAACATTTAGACAAGTTAGTTCAAGTTTTACTGTTTTTTATAACGACGTATCTGGAAATTGAAAACTAAGCAATGTTCTATTTGATAGTTATTAATTACCACTAACTAATAATAAACTAATAGTATTTTTATAATTGATCAATACTTAAATTTCATGATGAATGCTAACCATAGACAACGATTACGCGAGCAAGAACTTTTCTACGGGAAACAAAATGACACAAACCTCGGCACCCACATTCAGAGAGATGTGCTTTGTATGTTTCTTCTAATAATTGAATAGTTGAGTATCTGAATTTGAGGCGTAAGATATTCAACAGCAACTGATTCGTACTCTGTGAGGTTAAAATATACTACTGATACCGGCGAAGTCACCAATTTTTCTATAAAGTCGGTTCTCTGTGTTTTTGACTCATCGAATACTAGTTTGTTTTCAAGCGTTATTTTATTATGAAGTTGTTCATCTTTACAAAGAGTTTTATTTGTCAATCTCAAGTGATTATCGTTGGATAATTTCATTGAGACAACTGAATGAATTGTTTTATTTCAGTTTTTAAAATCATAGTTATGAGTTCTATGAGATATTTTCGTGTCATGATGAAAAACAGAGCGAATTGCTACATATATTGTACAATAAAATAAAATGCACGAATAATGAGTATTTTGTCTTCGATAGTATTACAAACGATATGATTTTAGAGACACCGTGGACAAATTTTCCCAAGGGAAAACAATGTCTCACATTTTGGTAATAAAAAATAGTTCGTAGATATATAGTTTACTTTGAAGAATGATTTTTCTAGCTGTTTATCAAGGATCAATATATTGTGTATAAATAAAACGCACCCCTAATACACGCTTTGAACTAAGATATGAATCCATCACACATATATCAATTCCATTTCATTTGATAACGATTGTGGTCATGTTTGCACTTAGGATGCGTACATTGACTTCTTCATTTCTAGTTTACATATTTTAACATTATTTCTATCATTCTAGATACTGCATCACTCCAACTTCTCTTTCGCCTTTGGTAAGTTAAAGACTGTCGTTAGAGAATATCAATCGTAAAATCAGATCAAACCTAAGATGAATTATAATATCTTTTTAAAGTTCAATGTATATAATTCGAGCGCGTCTAATTGCATTGGCACGCGGCCGTATTAAAAACCCATGCCCGTTGAAACATTTCCTTTTCCTATACGCGTTTGATCTTTGCCTTTTGATACAAAAATATTTACATAGGTTAACAAGAATTCCTGTTTTGATAAGAAGGTTGAATTGATATTTGACATGATTTAATTCTCTTCTTGTATTTTATTATATATTTTATTTTTTATTTAATTCAATTTAATTTGATATTAATAATTTATTTAAATTTAAAAAATTCAGGACGTTTCGTATCTCAATGAGATACTTCATCAGACATTAAAATTAAGACAAATGATATGTAAATATAAATGAAGAATTTTTAGATCAAAACTGGAATCAGAAAATCGCCTTATATCTATGAGTGCTTTCTTTAATAAAGTATCGCGACATAATCATCATCAATTTGACGTCCAAACAGCGATTTAGCTTTACACCAAGAGCCCAGAATAGTATCTCGAGAAATTCAATACGAAAAAAAGATACGATAGTCGTCGAGTGTTTTAAAATTTACCAAATAATTTTAATTGGTCACTTGGGAATGTGAAACATAGAAAAATGTTTTCGGTTGTATTTATAATAAAATAATATTTCGAAAACACGCAAGCGAAAAGACAGAACAAGAATTATACCCAAACTGAAGTTGTTTGGTGAATTTAGATTTAGTAAATTTCTAATTAGTATCGAAGATACTGATAAATATTGATATTGAAGTACTTGACTTCTCTAATGTTCTTTATAGTTTTCTTTTATTCTATTTAGTCCAATATGATGAGTGCCGATTATAAAAGGTACAAGAAGGAAATAATACTTAAACTTACCACTGTTAACGGCGTTACAACAGTTTTGATAGGAGTATATGGGACTATTTGTGTATATAGTTGTAGTGTGACAATGATATTTCTATAGGTCCGAGTTCCGTGTGAGATAGAATGGAAATATTTTGGTAAATATATCATGGAACACGATAATTTTCCACAATTTCTGCCTCTTTCTATTCCCCAGACGCTTATCAGAATATTTACAAATATAACTAATGTTTCCTTAAATGGAATTTATATCTATTGCATTCAAAGAAGACGATACCAATATACATAATAAGAAGAGCAAAAGGAAAGTAGATATCGAAGACAATACAATCTAATTTAACCGCCAATTATCATAACAAAACAGCTCTGGTCGACGTTTTATGGTTATAACGTTGCTTAAAGAAATATCAAATAACACAGAAAAATATTTGAGCATATAACTATATTTTAAAAGAAAAATTTCTTCAAATTTTCTAAACAAACATAAGGTAGTTCTGCCAGCACTTTCAGATTATTCTCAGTGATACAATATTTTGGAGGTTGTTCTACTCTATGTGAGATAAGACATGTTGAAATATATCTCATATTGTAGGACCATTTTTTCTGTTCTATATTCTCCCATGACAAGTTCTGGTATTTGTACTTCTCTCGGTACCAAAAACAGAAAGAGAAAATAAAAATTATAATATGAGAATACCGACTTATTCAACACTTCAATACAAAAGGCAAACAAGAATGTCTGCACATGATATGGAAGACAGAGAGAAGAAATATGTTCCATTATGACATTCTTCAAAAGAAGATGAAGAAAGTGTAATAAGCTCAATAAGTAACTATCGTTTCGGAAAGAAAGCAGCACAGTCAAATCTGTTTCTTTTCTCTAATGTAACTGAAGATAAAAAAGAAAAGAAGATTAACAAGAAATAATGTATTTACGCAAGACACAACAGAAATAATTGGTGAGATGTCTACAAAGTCCAAAAGTTTTTCGACGGATGAAAATAATCTGAATATCTCTCTATTCTATTTTCACCGAATGGACTGATTTTCATCACTGATAATGCAGTTTTAATAGGTCATATTTATAAGAAGAACATTGCTTTGAATTCTCATCGTGGACTTCAATACAGAACTATGACTTGTCACTAATTATGGAAGAATTATATTGCATTTTTTGTAATAAATTGTTACTGTTTGTGATCGCAGATTTCAGGATACAATCGATAAGAAGATGTATAATTATAATATGACTTATACGAGCAAAACATAGTATGGAAAAAAATAATAAATTCTTTGCTATTTTTCTTATTAATAAAATGCGAAAAAGAATCATATATTGATATAACTTCTTAAATGCATTTAATTCATAAAAATTTCTTTCAAAATGATTAAAAGCTACCAAAGCACTATGAAGAAAAACTAATAAACTCGACGTATACTCTTCTATTGTATCAATAATACACTGTCGTAAGCATTAACTAATTTCAGCACTATCTTTTTCGTCATTATCTTGTAGAAAATTTTCATATTTTCATATAATATCAATTAATTTCTTATTATTAAAAGTTTATTTTCTAATTTGGTCATTAAAAGAAAAAAAAGCATCTTGTTCAGATAAATGATCATATTTATCATTTAATAATTGTCCAAATAATTCACTGAATTCAGGTAAAACTTTTTCTACATTGGAAAATCGAAGTCGCATTTTAGTCAAATCGTCAATTTTAGTTTGTACATATACAAAATGACTATGTGTGGTGTTATCGAGTTGTATATGCAGAGAATTAATGACTACTAATGGTATTGTATTATTTTTACTAGCCAAAAATTCAATAACTTCTTTATATTCAAAAATCTTTTTATTATAATCAAATTTTTCGAACCTAAATAAGACAAAGCTTGAGTTGCTAATATATTATCAGCTGTTTTATTTTTAATAGTTTCTCGAATGGAATTGAGTAAAAATTTATGTCGAAATAATGCAAGACTCTTCATATAATCATCAACCCGATTCATCATAGTTTGTCTAAGATATGCTCCTATATAATGAACAGTTCGTTCATCGTTATTTTTAATACAATCATCGAATGAAACAAATATGGGATCTAACTTTTGTTTAGCATCTTTTCAATTGAATTCTAAATTAATCGATTCATGAAATCGATTTTTTTTACATAAAATTTCGATACATTTTCGTATATCATCAAAATTTTGTTTTTGATGACAAATTTTATTATCAATATCTTCATTTAATTCCTTATTATTGTCTGCTATCTGATGTAGTTCATAACAATATCGTAAAAGACATTTAAATATTTGATGAACTTCTTTCAAGGAATTTCCTACTTTAACAAATCTTTCAACAAAAAGTATACTGACACTTAAACTTTTTTCAGCTATTGTATTCATAGCTACAATATTTTCATTTTTCCTACATTCTAGTATTTGTTTAAGATGTTCAAATAGTAAAATTAATTCGCGTGCATTAGAAAAAGTCTTTTCGATTTCTAGAAAGTTCTTCAATAACTGTATGAACTTTTCATAAAAAGATAAATGTAAAAATTGATCGGAAATCAGGCAAGATTTTTCAAAAAATAGACTTTAATTGTTTTGCACATTCGAGATATTCATGTTGAGTAACTGTAATACTTTTTCTAACAGGTTCAAAACTGTTGTATGTTGTAACTTATCTTTAAAAATTTCAAAATTTTTACTTATCTTTTCTTGAAAATCTAACAAATTTAAAGAAATTCGTTGAAGAATTCAAACATAATATCTACTATAGAATGAACTTCTATATTTTTTCGTTGTTTTTCATCAAGATTATTTCTTTCATTTTCAATTGCATGGATACATTTTTCAATTTTATTTTGACTTTCTTTTTTACTTATTTGTTCAATTAATTCGGATATTTAATTAAATCTTTGTATTTTAGCTAAAGTTTGTGATAAATTTTCGACATGATTTTTTATTTCTACAGGTTCTAAAATATATAAATACTGATCGATGGCTTGTGAAAATTCACTTTTAAATTTGTCAATTATTTCGATGGTTTTATTTTCAGAAAGATTATCGTCTGCATTATCTGAAACGGATATTTTTTCAGTAGTTTCAATAAACCATTCCTTAACTTTTTCTATATCTTCTTTGCTAGAAAATTCTGGTCTATAAAAATGTTTTTTTAAAAAATTCCCAATGATGATTATCAGAGGTCCATTGACAAGCACCTGCATTAAAACAGACATCTATTAAACTATCTTCTGACATCTCTCTTTGCTTTGGACATTTTATAAAATAAGCTTACGAATGACGAAGCAAAAATGTAAATAAGAAAATAATTGTTCAATACATATGTATATGGAATTAAAGAAACCAAATATTCTATTGTATTTCTCAAACTGTTTATCAAATTTTTAAAAATTCAACCTTGTTATTGTCTTAATTTTGTAGTAATATATAAGATGTAATAATTATAACGTATTGTGAAATTTGCCTATTGTAATTACTTTTGAAATATTGTAATAAAAAATAAATATTCGACAAGTAAATATGAAATATTTAATTCTCAATGGTTTTCTAATTACCGAACATTCAAGAAGGCAATCGTATTTTGAAATGAATTTATTTCTTACAACATAAGTGAATGAGCATAAGTGAATGAGGGTGTGGATGGGTGTGGATGTGGGGTGTGGGGTGGGTGTGGGGTGGATGTGGATGTTCTATTCTCTTACAACACCCACACCCACACCCTACAAGATGATAGAGAAGATAAATGTATCGCTGACAACAAAAATATCAACTTACGAACAACTGATGAAGCTTATCAAGAAAGACACAAATTTCTTTTTCAAGAATTGTCGATTGGACAATCGGATGTATCGTGTCTTTGCTTATAAACCAATGGACTAGGTTTCCTTCACTGAGCCAACCTCAATGGATTGTCGAGGAATTATGTTCGATGTAACTGATGGAGATTCATCATCCATTCTCGTTTGTTTACTACCACAAAAATTTTTCGAGTAAAAGCATGACAGTCGTGATCATACATCAGGTCGCATTGGAGATAAAATGATCAAATTAGATGTATTGTTGATTTCAACGTTTTTGCACAAAGATCAAGTTCAACGTAAATCGAAGGCAAGTCTTGTTTCACCGCAAGTGCATTTAGCAGAATCTTGTCTGTATAGCAATTCCCGGCTCCGTAGTAAGATTCAATCACTTGCTGAACAAGGCTATACAGTCAATTTCGAATTGACATCTCCTCAAAATCGCATCGTAATACCTTATAGCGTTGATCAACTTACTCTTCTATCCATTCAATCCCATATTACCGGTGAAAACCTATTTGGAACTCGACTTACTCAATTTCTTCAAGACACATAACCATCAGTGCTAGCAAATATAGTATTGTACGAGAACTATTCGAATTGTATCGACACTCTTAACAAACATCTCCAATTCATCGAAGCAGTACGTCAAGAAACTATTGAAGAAGGCTATATGGTGAACATCGTGTTACATGACGGAACATCTTATTTAACCAAAGTGAAGAACTCAACCTTTCTCCAGCTTGAGATGAAAAAGAAGAATTCCAACTTGAGACAACAAACGAAACATTTCCATAACCTAGGTGGAGAAGTATTACTAAACACTTGTAAAGACTTCCATTTTCTAAATAAACTCATGAAAATCATCAAATCTTTTAGAATTACTTCACTAACAGGAAACACTTTTCAATGACAAAGCTTTCTCATAGTGTGTAATGCTTTGCTAGGGTGTGGGTGTACGCCTGTGGAGTTTGGTGAGGAGTGCAGCTGTAAGTCCTCGCTTCTCTTACATCGTCATTCATATCCATGCCAACACTCCTAACTTTTGAGAAATTGTCAAATCATACTAGAAACAAGTTGCTGAAAAATTCTAAACTTAACCGTACATGCATGTACTTTTTGCAATACATTTCTGTTCCTTTTATAGAATATAGTGTGTGATCAAAATAGTTTCTTTAGAGGTTTGATTCATGAAATTTTTTATAATCATCTTGATGTTTGAAAATATTAAAAAGATAATCAATATATTTTCGAGCGTAAGATAAGAATATGATCATAATAAAGTTTAAATCATTTCGAAGAGAAAAACTATGCTTTATAAGTTATTCTTAAATAAGGCAAGGCTTGTCCATATCGATACACAATATATTCATCGTCATTTGGTTTACCAGCAAATTGTCCATGTATTGAATGAAAACCTTTTGGTGCAGACATTAATTCACTATTTAATTCATTTAGTATTGATTCTTTTCCTAAAACGACTTTATTATAATACATGATACGTGTCTGATCGATTGGATTGGCTCCCGTGTATCTATGTGAAACACTTGGATTATCAGCAAAATAAGCACCATGACCTAATAAAATATGAAAATTAAAAGAAAAGAATGACAGTTAAAGGTTTTTCTAATATATTTTACCCCATTTTCCTTTTCCAAAATTAGTTCCCCAATATC